GACATCGTGTAAAGATCGATGTAGTAGAAGATTAGGTTTGGTTGTGAGAATCATGGTTGTATGTGGGTCAGGGCGCTCAAAAATGAACAGGAGAACGATAAGGGCCTTCAACGAAATCCTTTGGCGCACTGGTTTTTTTAGAGAACACGCCGTCACACATATTCCAACCCTGAGCCTCGAGGACTAGAAGATAAGTTTGTGAGAACCTTAGTCATTGATAAGCCTGGTTTGAAAGACTACGAGTGCTGTGAGGATACTTCCCCTGTATAGTTCAATGGGAGGCGCACAAAACGTCACACCGCGGTGAAGGCCCGTAGCTTTGTGGTGGACGTGCTCAAATCAGCTTTTCGGAAAAGTTTTTCACTGGGCAGCCAATCAGTTAAGTCCTATCTTTAAAGGTACATGACAACTATTCCTGATTATCATGACTGTCCTTTGTGTGCACATTATCACTTTGTATTAACCATGCTTCTTCCCTACTTTCAACCTATGTGCGTCTATTCTTAAACAAGTAAAGCATGCAACTCCGTCTCGTTTTCCCGGTCAATCAGGATTTAGACTCTATCTGTAACACTGTTAGGGAGCTCATCTTAGAAAACCGGGCACTGCTTAGGCTCCTCAATATGAGTAATGAGTAATGGAGTGGCAATTGGACTAGGTTTCAAGATTCATTCAACTTAATCACCCCAGCTTTCGTTCTCAGCGATGAAAACCGCAATGAACGGGCATCATAAAGAACGTTATTGAATAATGGAGGAGTGCACTATAGGATCTGGGTGAAGAATGCACTATTCATGAACAGAAAGAAGGGCGCAGGTCCTACTTAGGTTACACATCAAGGCTTGATCTGGCTCAGCGGTTAAGCCGAAAGCCTACTGACTGGAAGGTCCATGGTTCGACTCCAGACTTTGCATCTCCCCTACATCTGTCTAGGCTTGGGTAGTACGGCGGTATCTCAGCCTTCGCACTTCCTTCTGGTGGCACAGTAGCTAGACACAAAGCGTGCTATAGCTGAACGAGGTGTCAGACTAAGCTCAAATCACGCATCCGGTTGACCATTACCTGGGAGAATGTACGTTACAGGAACCAAACGATGAAACTACCATCCACATGCTTAAGTGAGAGATGTCAAACCCGACCGCACTCACCAGTAGCCTTAACAATGGAAATTTGGTAAACCAGCGTGGTGTTTAATCGTTGGTAGAGTTTGAAGAATTCAGAATTTTAAATGGAGAGTTCGCCCTCAAGCAAATCTATGCTCGAAAACCGAAAAGCCTTGTGCAGCTATCTCATCCTTATTGAGAATCACTAACGGTACGCATTTCACGAAACACTGAAGAGTTTCGAACCCGTAACTTTGCGGTTATTAGGCTGAATGTCTAGCTGTTCGGCCAAGAGAAGACGATCGGCAATGTGATTAACGCGTACTTAGGATAGGGCACCAATCATGATGCAACCACAGAATCTACACCATTTGGCCACGTGATGACCGCTTCCTCGAGTGACGACTTAACATATCCATTGCGCTAAGTACAAATCAGGTCTTTACTGATACTGACGTCACCGGTGGTAAAAAAGCCGTGAGCGGATTTTCCGGTTAGGTTCGTCTAGCAGGTCATTATGGACGGATCAGTTCACTATACCCTGACCAATCACGTTTGCACCTACCCCAGCGATTCTCTATAGTTTTGCAGTAAGCTCCTATTCAGGACAGGAAAAACACGGTCATCAATTTGATGAGCTAGTTTTGCCGATCTCAAAGTTTTTAAAGTTATCACACGGTACCAGCTTTGAAAACTACTGGGCCTGTGATAAATGGTTCCTTTCGTTTCTGTAGGTTTGATACTTCTGAACTGATTATGACGTCCCTATCATCTAAAAGAGTTAGTGTTGGGTCATACTGTCCTTCTAGCATGAATAGTAATGAAAAAGTATTTCTTTGTTACGTTCTATTTAATCTACAACGGAAAACTTTAGGTATGATAAAATCACTTTGGCAACAGGAGCTCGTACGCGTTAGGAAGTTGATTAGTGGGGAAACTGTTGTAAACCTCTCCTCTGCATAAATTCAGTGAACCACAGTACCATACCAACATAAACATCGAAAACAGATGAATGCTACTAACAATCTGTGATGCTTCTGCCCTAGATAATAGAGCGCCAAGATGAAAATCCGTTAATTGGAACTGGGCTCTGGCTTGAAACCACCAACACCCTAAATGCAACTAAGAGCTCGTAGCCTGAAGCTCCATTCGCGAAACGTTAAGGCTAGCCGGAGCTTCAGATGGTTTGGGCTTAAGCGCATGGTCATTATTTGAAGTATCCGGTTGAGAAGCTCCGTTCGCCGGTCATCGAGGTTAGTAAACCGCAAATACGTGGATCAGTCATGATGGTATACGGTTAAGAAAGCTGTCTATAGGGCGAGATGAACAGGGGTAATGGTTAGGGATGTCACTGAACGGTGACTGATGCACCATCGACAGCATGGCATCACTGTCCAACACGGATGCCTCACTGCCGTGACTGATGGGATTCACAGAAGCAGCCCTGGAACGTTACATATCGCAGTGTGCTGTTCATTGCTAATTTACTTTACGTCCACACTGCACTGCTGGAACGTTACATATCGCAGTGTGCTGTTGATTGCTAATTTACTTTACGTCCATAGGCACTGCACTGTTGCCGTATTTTCAACAAGACTTAGTTATCACAAAGATCATCATTGAGAGAATAGATTACGTATTATGACAAGGCACTGACAGCTAGATGGAGCATCATGCTACACAAAGCACATAAAAACAGCATTAACTATAGAATCGACGTATGCCTGAACAGGTCAGGACAAGTTCGAAGGCATCATTGGGAACCCGGTTGTTCGAAACAACACGTCGAAGTAAAGCGAGGTAGCCTGTCTCGATGCAAGGCTTATTATTCGAGAACGCAGTCATAACAATTGGAAACCTTCGGCATCCTCTTTCAAAGGGCCATGGTTAGTTCGGTTTTGATTATGCGTGAGTAAAAACGCCGTCAGTACGAGATGGCTCAGTTGTTAGGGCGAGAACTTACTGATCGGAAAGCTCGTCGTTCGATCCTAAACTATGCGTCCTGGCGACCTGGCAGTACATCGGATCTGCGATTCCTTCGGGTAGCACGGCAGCTGAGCATCGGAAGGGTGCCACGACCGAACTGTCAATACCATGGGAATTCCGAACAATCATGCCATTAGCTATTCCATTTCCGGTGGGCTGGAAACGAGTGCATTGGAACCTAATACCCTCGTGATTGAATTTATTGCCAAATACTCCCAGTGGGAGCATGATGGAACAAACCTTTCGTTGAAACACGGGTTTAAGCGTTAGGCGATAGATGCACTACACTCAATCGTAGCGGAGCTCGTACGCGTTAGGAAGTTGATTAGTGGGGAAACTGTTGTAAACCTCTCCTCTGCATAAATTCAGTGAACCACAGTACCATACCAACATAAACATCGAAAACAGATGAATGCTACTAACAATCTGTGATGCTTCTGCCCTAGATAATAGAGCGCCAAGATGAAAATCCGTTAATTGGAACTGGGCTCTGGCTTGAAACCACCAACACCCTAAATGCAACTAAGAGGTCGTAGCCTGAAGCTCCATTCGCGAAACGTTAAGGCTAGCCGGAGCTTCAGATGGTTTGGGCTTAAGCGCATGGTCATTATTTGAAGTATCCGGTTGAGAAGCTCCGTTCGCCGGTCATCGAGGTTAGTAAACCGCAAATACGTGGATCAGTCATGATGGTATACGGTTAAGAAAGCTGTCTATAGGGCGAGATGAACAGGGGTAATGGTTAGGGATGTCACTGAACGGTGACTGATGCACCATCGACAGCATGGCATCACTGTCCAACACGGATGCCTCACTGCCGTGACTGATGGGATTCACAGAAGCAGCCCTGGAACGTTACATATCGCAGTGTGCTGTTCATTGCTAATTTACTTTACGTCCACAGGCACTGCACTGTTGCCGTATTTTCAACAAGACTTAGTTATCACAAAGATCATCATTGAGAGAATAGATTACGTATTATGACAAGGCACTGACAGCTAGATGGAGCATCATGCTACACAAAGCACATAAAAACAGCATTAACTATAGAATCGACGTATGCCTGAACAGGTCAGGACAAGTTCGAAGGCATCATTGGGAACCCGGTTGTTCGAAACAACACGTCGAAGTAAAGCGAGGTAGCCTGTCTCGATGCAAGGCTTATTATTCGAGAACGCAGTCATAACAATTGGAAACCTTCGGCATCCTCTTTCAAAGGGCCATGGTTAGTTCGGTTTTGATTATGCGTGAGTAAAAACGCCGTCAGTACGAGATGGCTCAGTTGTTAGGGCGAGAACTTACTGATCGGAAAGCTCGTCGTTCGATCCTAAACTATGCGTCCTGGCGACCTGGCAGTACATCGGATTTGTGATTCCTTCGGGTAGCACGGCAGCTGAGCATCGGAAGGGTGCCACGACCGAACTGTCAATACCATGGGAATTCCGAACAATCATGCCATTAGCTATTCCATTTCCGGTGGGCTGGAAACGAGTGCATTGGAACCTAATACCCTCGTGATTGAATTTATTGCCAAATACTCCCAGTGGGAGCATGATGGAACAAACCTTTCGTTGAAACACGGGTTTAAGCGTTAGGCGATAGATGCACTACACTCAATCGTAGCGAAGGTGCAAGGCTAGACCCAGTCCGTACAATATATATATATATATAATATAGAATCAAGTATTGTTCCGCAAGATAAACGCACCTGCTGCACTATTTTGTAACAATTAATCGAAATCAATCAACGATAAACTTAGGAAACTTAACTTACCTTCTCGTTCATACAGCCCAACATACAAGGAATAGACGGGCCACACAAAGATCCAGCAAGCAAGATAAACGCACCTGCTGCACTATTTTGTAACAATTAATCGGATAAAATCAACGATAAACTTAGGAAACTTAACTTACCTTCTCGTTCATACAGCCCAACATACAAGGAATAGACGGGCCACACAAATCCAGATCCAGCAATCCGACCGTGCAATGTGCATGGACAGGTTCAGTGTAGTTTTCTGAAATTCTTTTTACCCTTCGACAAAGACCACGAGCCAGACACACCGCCAAACTGCTCTTCCCCACTCCACCTTTGCCGGATAGAATTAGAATGCGGTTGTGGATACGACCAAGTCTGTTGTGTATGTTCGCAATGACATCAGGTTCACGTTCAGACAGTGGCAAGTTCGCCTGACCACTGGAACATGCTGCCTGGTTGGGACAACCATCACAAGCAGAGGCTTTACCAGCCATTTCACTCTGGGTCCCAGGGCATGAAGCAGGGGCGTCCGGCGGAACGTCGGACATAGTTTGTAATTAGTCAGGAAGCTGAAAATGAATAGCATGAACTGTAGGCTTCTCTTATTGAGAAACATTTTAACGACGTTATAAAATTTGGGGTCCGTGTAGTAGGACCTGCAAGCCTTACAAATTGCCGAGAGTTTCGTAAATCCTCCTGATAATTTATTTTTAAACGTTCGACTTCTTAAAATTATAGGATCTGTTTAGACGTCACGTTCAAAAATGACCATGGGTCCGACGGTACAAAACCGACCCCAGGATGTTCGGAAAAGCATCAAGAGTTGGTAAGTAACAAAGAACTGGGTTACACGGTGCACACACTGTGAGTGCTGCACGGGAGTCGTTGCGGTAGGATCCGTATGTGATAGTTTGTGTGAGTGGAGGTCGAGTAGAATAATGCATTTGCACATCACTCAAATTTCGACATTTTCACGTCACGGTGGATATGTGAACAAATGAAAATGTTATAAATATCAGGCATCATTTATGGCTGTCCTAGTTGACAGATATGTTCGCTAATGACAGAATCGAAGGTTTGGTCACACGATATGGTTGTTAGTTCCAACGATGCAGTGCGAACTCAGTTGAAGTGTCCTATTGCTGACGTAAAGTGGGCGCGCCTCAATCATGTGGCATGAAAGGTGTTAACACACTGTATACCTACGCCATGAACACGGCTACTGCTAATATGTCTGTGAAATCGGTACTGTAGCGTCTGTCTTAAGTGTGCTCGACAAAAATACATGAAATCTACTCTACTTCAAATATACCTATTAGTATTTTGATGGTCGGAAACACTACTGAAGAACGGTGAGCCGGGGCTTGCACTGCGATTGAATCAGTGAAAAGTTCGGCGGAAATAACTCTATGACTTAGCTTGACTGTGTGGATACAGTTGCTGAGTAGATCCTAATCGCAAATCAACTTAGATGAACTGATAAATACCAGATAAAGATTAAAGCAATGTAGGATTTACTGTTACCAGATAAGTGCATTTTTCACGTAACCGATGCTAGCTAGATATTCCTGCCCAATGAACTCGCTAAGGCCAATATTCATTCAGAAGCGGGTGATAGTGGCTGTGATAAAAATGTGGGGCGGTTCTTTATGCACCACTTTCATGGCCTCATATTTACGTGCACTCGATGAAAACTTCAGCATTAGGTTGTGATTCAGTTTGGAAAGATAGGGCTTTGCTGGCATGTAGTAAAAAAATGCGCCGGTGTTTGTTAATTTTTCGCATACGTTTTAGGAAGCGAGATACCTGTGGTTAGAGCGCGAATTTACTGACCTCAAGGTCCATGGTTCGAACCCGACATCTGCCTCTCGCTCCTCCTGTCCAGGCATGGGCAGTATTCCAGCCCTCGTACTTCCTTCAGGTGGGATGGTAGTTACGTGGCGTTAAACAATCATTCCGACTAGTACAGTAGATAATATTTTCGTGATCAATTGTATCTCTGTCACCGGCGACTTGGCTGTGCATGCCAAATCCAGGCAAAATGTTTCTTCGACCACTTTCAAATACAGTTGCACTAAGCGATGTACAGTTGATTGCGCGCTGTGTGACATTTGTTTAGACTGAATATTAGTGATATAAAAAACGTTAAGACCGATTTTGGTTCCAAACGATGTGGGAGCAAATTAATCAGAATCACGAAGGACAGAAACATGGGTTGACTGATTAAGGTGACGGTTAAACCACAGCTCAAGCTATGGTTAGCGTGTCAGGCTGAAATATTGTTTTTGACGTGGCTTTGCGCCATAAGCCGGTTCATTCTGGATGACAGAAAAGGTAAACGGAGAGTTGAATGAAGAAGGTGAAGATAGTGATTGTTTGAGTTACCTCACCTTGAGCCTTTGACTTAAAGGTCTAGCCCACAAGGTAGTGGGCGGTAGGCTTTTTTTGTAGAAAGCCGCCAGCAACCAATGATTCAATAGTCTTACAGGTTTGGCGGCGGGAGTCTGTCCCAGATCGAAAGCTCAAAGAATTAGGGACATGTCTCACTCCTGAGGCTGTAGTGCATGACAGATGCATGTGCAGTAGCATCAATCTCATGGTAAGGCTTGTCTATTGTTCGACCATACTGGATAATTCGCCGGTGGTTACGGTCAATCGTTTGATGATCGTTGTGCGGTTCTATTGTCTTTCCTAACCCATCCTCCGGGGAGTGCAGCATCGCTACCCCCATAAATATGGACCGGCTGGTCGCCGGGAGAAAACACTTCACCGCCTACACGCTTCCGGCATAAAAAACAGTACGGCTTTACCAAAAGAACACCTCGTAATAATGGTTTGACTGCTCTCTTTTGGCAAAACAAACATTTAGATGAACACCCTTTTGGTGGCCAGCTGCCATGTCACCGGAAGGAAGTATGAGGATCGAGGTATTGTCAGGTTTCTCAAGGCTAGGCAGGAGCAGTCGAGATTCAGAGGTAGGGTCGAACAGTGAACGTTCCGGTCGGTTAGTCCTTGCCTTGATCACAGCTATCTCGATCATCCTTGACATGGATGCACCTTGTGGAACGGAGTTCCGGCCAAGGCAGTTTGCGGGAACAATGCAGAACTAACGCCTGACCACGACGGGAAGGCGGTAACTTTTGGTCGAGTGAACTTACAAACGAATCCGTGAGGTCTGATTGAATTTAACACATGCGGTCTTCTGAATTGACAACGCCATCAGCAGAAGCTTGTTACATTCTAGATACCCCATAAGCCCAGATGACTGAACTGACTGTTTACACAAAATCTGTTGTGAGGATTGCAACGCTACTCGCATGGGAGGAATAAGCAATCCCTGCTTATGTCATTGAGTGTTACATTCACGTGATTCACATTTATATGAAGTATGCCCTGCATGTTTTCGAATAAATAAATAAATTCAGAAACGCGTACGTTTTCTTTTCAGCAAAGTATGCACCTGGGGACAGAGCTTTTTAGCAATTACCCGTCCATATAGCGAACTTTCCACAGGTACTCCGATAGTGGAGTCGAGGAGTTCTTTGGCTACTTCTGAGACTGAGGCGTAAACAAGCCGATGAGGTGAGCGGAAAGATTCCTCCCAAGTCCGGTTCCACCAACCTACCATCGGCTTTGAAGGCTGTATTCACTGAACTATGGCCAACAGTGTGGGATAAATGAATGTAGATACCTCTCAGTTTGGTTCACCATCATTTACCAGCACGTTGCTATATGCACAATAGGATTATTCCTAACATGAGTTGTTCAGGGAACTGTCGAACGCTAACCCCAACTTAAATGAGCCTGAGCAGCTTGAGTGATGTTCTGTGACTCAAATTGACGCCCCACTCGAGGATAGGATGAGCACCAGGCAAGTACAACTACGCATCAGAGCACCTGTTCGAAGCGTATTACCCCACCAGGGTGGGTAATCGACATCCAACCACATCTAACAGTTATCAAACAGTTGAAGAGTTATTTGAGGGAAAACAAGCTATTGGATCGCCATGGTAGGCTGTACAGTTCCTTTATAACAGGCTAAATATGTATACTTTTACACAGAATCGGCACCACCATCATCCTCGACAGCATGACATCGATTGTCAACACCGATGTTCAACTGCCATACAACCATGGTTTATTTTAAAGCGTTGTTGTGAAGAAAGGAATAAAGGGGTACGGGAGAAGGGACTTAGTGCTAGCTTACTAATACCACCCCGCCAGACACTCATTCAGGCAAGCCGAACAAGAGCGTCACAGACATTGGCTGGTAGCCACATCTTGGGACATGTCCAACGAGACGCAGTGGGGATCCCCATTCTGGAAGGTAGCACCGACAGCACCCAAACGTTTCGTAATCTCCTCCATATCGCCCATTAAGGCCAAGGGTTTGCTACCTCTCTAGATGGGGCACAGAAAACAGCACCCTATTCAGCAAACGATGGTTTGGCATGCGCGATACATGGCCTAACAAACGCAGCTTCTGGCGCTGGACACATTCTTCAATGAAAGCTCATGTGGGACAACCGAAACCTCGCTTTTTAATTGCCTAGTTACGGATTCGTCGATATCAACCCATACGAGCTATGGTTCTTAACACCTCAAGACATCTCAGTTCCGCTGCTCAAGCAGGCCAAGTCTCAGAGCCATAGATCAAAACAGCCCACACCACAGCCTGACACGCAAGTCCCTTGAGGTTCAAGGATGTATCACTTTGACGCCATAGATGTTTCCAATTGTCACATTCGTGCATTTATCTAATTTGTCACGCTACAACAGAACTAATGCAACTTCCAAGATACGTAAAACACTGCACAACTTCGAGCATGTCCCCGTGGATTGTAAGTGGCGTGTTCAGTGACTGCATGTCCAGGAGCGCGACCTTACACTTTGTGGGTAAAAGTTCCTGCCAAGGCACTGGATGACTCTGGCCAGTTCATCCAGAAACAGCTGCGCCTTCGCTTTCAATACGGGAGCGATGTCAACTGCACACGTTAGATGGACAGGCCATTTGAACTCCGAGATTTTGGAGACCTAACGTTCGTTCCATAGTTTCATCGATCCCGAAGATAAATAAGGATGGAGAAGACGGACATCCCTGAAGGACGCCACTTTGTGTACGGAAACTTTTGTATAGCTCGCCGTTTAGGAGTCTGAGACTTCACGGATTCACGGATTCACGGATTGATACACAGGATCGAGGCTATTGCCCAAGTCTCCCGGGTCGGTTTTGTTCTTGTCGGTCAGTGGCTGTCGTTCACCTGAAAGGCACAAGTGAAAAAAGGGTGTAGCACTGCTCTTTATGTTCTCAGCGCGGGGCAGTATCCTCGCCAGCGCGAAAATTCGCATAAACAAATGTCTAATAGTGCTTTAAATTGGGTTCGAGAAGGAGCGTGCACAACCGTCGGAGGAAGGTCATTCCACGCAGCTACTACCCGAAATGAAAAAAAGTTTTGTCTAACGGATGTGTGTGCCCTGAGCTTGAAGATTTTCTTACTATGTCCCCGCCGGGTGTTTGCTGGGTAAACGGTAAAAAACCTGTTTGCCAAGCTTTGTT